ACTCCATATCTTTCACAGCTTGTGCGAATTCCGTATTCTTATCCCCGCTCATCTCTAAGTTTTTTGTCAGGTCTTCGATAGTCTTAATTTGAATCATTCTCTTCACAAACGGAGTAGGTTCAAGCTCTTCGTCGGCGTTGGTTACCTCGAATCCTTCATTACACGACGGGCAATTTGCTGTTTTCTTTCCTTCGCAATCCGGCCACTCGTAAAACAAACACGATTTACAGAATGTGTGTAAGCAGGAGAGGGTTTTAGGATCAACAAAAGGTGACTTACAAACTTGGCAAGTTGTGAAATGTTCAAGAGGGTCAACTGGAGGTTCGGGTTCGGGTTCGGGTTCGGGTTCTGGCTCAATTTCTGGTTCAGGTTCAGGCTCTGGCTCAGGCTCAGGTGTTGGTGTACGTATTGGTGGTGGTGATGGGGGAGGAGGAGGACTTTCTACTTTAAGTACTGGAGTCTTCTTTCTTGTTTTACTTCTACTTCTCATTTTACTAACAACCGATGAAGCTTTGTAAACATCCAGACTTTTCATGTTGTTGTGTTTCAAACGTAAGGAAGCAGCGTAGTTTGATTTTGGCCTTGGACTCTTAGTTCGTTGTCTTTCAATTTTGTTTGGACTCATTGTACTTCTTCTTTCTAGTTTGCTAGCCATTTTCCTTGAACGATTTTCAGACAGCAATGCGATAATTACTAGTGAAAATAATTAATTGACTCAAAGATATGTTTGCTAAATAATCATGCATGTTTAGTTACCAAGTAACTGATGCCAAACAGTGGCGTTGCTAGGAGCTGACTTGGACACAAGCAATGTCTAAAATTTATCAATATCAAACAGAAACAGACGGTGATTTTTAACTTAGTGTAAATCTAATTATATAACACTCATTCTGACATGTGCTAAACATTCTTTGCAGTTTTAACTTGAAAACATTATTTTGTATGTTTTATTATATATTTCATATTTTATAGTATTCATTTTATTTAAATTGAAAAACTAAATTACCTGTTGACCTTGCCAGGTCATACTCAGGCTAGCTAAGCCTATATTTAGAGTCATATTAGATGGCGTAATAACTCCCACACGGTACAGACCGGGCATCTGTTTTGAGCAGGGCGCTGTAAAATGGTTATGCCCCCTGATCTATGTGATGCAGGTCCTCCCCCCCATGTATTAATTTATATAATGTTTTGGGGTTCTGTGTTATTAATACAATTCGACAGCTTTTCTGAGGATTCTTAACCATGGCAATAGGGAATGTTGTAGTTTAAATATAAGCTGCATGGGGATCGACATATCGGCCGAAGTGCCCCACAGGAATTAATTGAGTGCTGTATAATAGAGGTGCCGAAACCGATCCGAATCCGATCGGATTCGTTTGGATTTCGGAACCAAAATATTCATTTCGGATCGGATCGGATTGATAAAGTTGTTCCGTAGTCGGATCGGATCGGACTTCGATATATCCGAAATAAAATGAATTAATTATCCACGCATTATCGCAAGAATTAATTATCCATGCATTTATCAAAGCATTATCGCGGTTGTCGCTGCATTATTCGTTTGATACTTCAATTGGACGTCACTTTGTCAGCTTCTTGACATGTATTTCTTGCTTTTATATTTATTTGGTTAAATATTTCAACTTGAGTGAGAAATTTATTTTATTAAAGAATTCTTGGGATCGGATCGGGTCGGATTGGATTCTTTATCAAAACTCGGATCGGATTGCATTCGGATTAGACAATTTCGGATCGGATTTTAAACATTAAGCAATTGTCGGACTATAAACGTCCAACCCGATCCGATGCACACCTCTACTGTATAAATTGGGACGCATGCTTTATTCAGCTGATCGCCACTTGATCAAGGCTTGTGGACAAAGGTTGAACCCAGACGCGAGTTCAAGTGTGTGTGTGTGGG